CTTCAGGATATGTTGGTTGTTCTTTTACAGGAACAATTGTTATACCATCTTCGTCCTCGTATGGTTTCCCCACTTCAAACATCTCTGTCTTTGACATTGACAACAACACTTTGACTGTTTGTTTGAGTTGGTGAATTTAACTTCACATCTGCCACCGCCATTAAACCTTTTGAAACACTTACGCTTCTATTTTTCGGAAATGACATTTTACTTAGAATAAAAAGATGGACGTATTTGAGTATCTCTTCGAATTGAAGCAGAACAAAGTTTACACACACAAACAATACAAGTTCATTGACAGAATAGTTCTTTACACAAACAATGGAAAATGTTATAGAATAGCAGTCTTTGCTGAACCAAAATATTTTCATAAAGCAAAGAAAGTTGGTATAACCGAGATGGTGAAAGTTCTTGAAGCAGACAAAAATATAACAACAAAACTGACCGATATTTCTAAAGGTAAGTTTTTTAATACAATACTATGTCAAAACTGGCGTACTGTCAATATTTGACGGAGAGAAGTCAGTTCAAGAACAACTTACTGACCTGCTGCCAAAATCTGCTCGATGGAAGCTGTCGTTATGCCAATCTGAGGAGCCCCAGCAGGTTTCATCGAACGAATTTCAAAAGAGCATCTTCCGTGAAAAGTGCTATTGGTTTTGTAAACTTCTTTGCTCTCAATTCATCTGGACCGTCTCTGTCACCAGTATATTGTATTTGTACAGTACCAACAGTTGAAATACCACCCATAAAGTCTTCTGAGTCAGCAAATGGAATGCCAAGCCAAAAGTTTGAACGGTCTCCATTTGTATATTGAGTTTTTTGAGCTCCTGTATGGTCCATACTTTCACATATGGCATAATAGAACTTTGCATTTCAGGGTTAATGGTTGTTGTGAAGTTGTTGTTAAAGTTCATAGCATCTAATGTCAAGTTGTATGACCTCATATCCTCAACTGTGGAATATTCTTCTCTTGGATAGTATTTGCCATCTATGTTTATATGATATTTAATACCAGGGTTGTAGAAACAAGAATAGTCATTTATAGTTCGTCTGAACAGTACAAACATAGTATCTGCATGTTTCATTGCAGTTGTTAAAGCAATATCTGTTCTTGCACCTGGGTCAGCACTTTGGTTTCCAACTTCACC